AAAAAAAAAGTAAAAAAACACCAAAAAAAGTGACAAAATTTAAAAAAGTGACGAATTCAAAAAAGTGGCACAAATTAAAAGAAGTTATACATGTTAAAAAGTGACAGACAATAAAAAAAGTGACACGCGCTTAAAAAGTGACAATTCAAAAAAAGGTGACGAAATCAAAAAAAGTGATGAATTTTTTTTTTTTAAATGACGAAACACCGCTAAAAACCTTAACATATATCATTTAAGCTAATTCAACCACTCCACCACCACCACCGCTCCAATAACCAAGGTTCCAAAACCATTATTGCCTCGTTTCTTCAATACCCAACAACAACTTGCTGCCAAACATTAGGTGTGTCTACTCCATTCCAATTATAATTCACTATGAAAATCTGGATCAGTATCACAATTGACTTAAAAAGTAAAACCCAAAACTAATGTTACTGTATTTTTTTCTTCAGCATATCCAAAAAAATAATGTGGAATGTTAATTGATTTCGTGTTGAAAAAAATGTGAAATGACATGGACAGAACAATGAAATGCTCGTGGATTAAGAAAAACAAGTGGGATTCAAGTGCACTTTCAAGAAGCGTGGGAAAGTAGGCGTAAAGTTGTAATTGATTCATGAATGCAGGAGTAGGAACAAAGAAAGAGTGGAGGGAAATCAATTGATATGAAGGGAACTTTTAATTGATTTATGCAAATTAAAATATATATCTCCTTTTCATTCTTTTCTCACCTGATTTAAGAAATTGGTCCTGCACAATAAAGAATTCAACCTAAATCACTAACTGCATACACTATCTAGTATTATAAACATTTTAAAGGACAGAGAACTATTAACATATTTTTCGAAGCTAAATCTCTTTTGTAAATGCAATTTCCTCTATATAGCCAAGTATCTACAGATGAGAAATTTAACTTAACATATAAAGAAAAACAACCCCAAAAATCTCAGAATCTGACAATCTTCAAGCTTTACCTTCACCTCCCCAAAGGCAAAGCAGATACGATGGCTACTCCAATTAACCGCTGCACAGCTAGTCAATCAAAACCTAATCTACAACCGGCTACTCCAATTGACATCACCCCACCATCCCTCGTCGGCCAAAAATACCAAAAGCATAAACATAGATCAAATGCTTCGTGCATCGCCATCGCAAATTGCTACAGTGGTGTGCCCCGTGTTTGTGGTCTGTAGTCAGTTGGGAGATTTTGGGATTTTGTTTTAGTTTCTCTCCACTTATCAACAGAATCCGACAATCTTCAAGCTTTACCTTCACCTCCCCAAAGGCAAAGCAGACACGATGGCTACTCCAATTAATCGCTACACAGCAAGTCGATCAAAACCCAATCTAGCCGGCTACTCCAATCAACATCTCCCCACCATCCCTCGTCGGCCAAAACACCAAAAGCATAAACATAGACCTAATGCTTCGTGCAGCGCCATCGCAATTGCTGCAGTGGTGTGCCCCGTGTTTGTGGTCTGTAGTCAGATTTTGGAATTTTGTTTTAGCTTAGGAAGTAATTAATACGGAGTTTATGTGATGTTTAATTAACTTGGGGTATTAATCTAATTGGGTTACGTTTTAGAGCATTGGACCTAATTTTCCCATAATATTTTGCTGCATTAACTACAAGTAGTAAACCATTATTATCATAGAATACTTTTTATGAAAACAAATTACAGCAAAGTACCTTACATTTATTAAACAAAAACAACATTCTTTTCGAGAACTTAATATAAGCATACCCGTAGAAAATTCAATTAATCCTACAAAGGGAAATATAAGAAGAACATTCACCAAATTAATACTCTCACACAAACTTGAGGTCAATTTGCATTTACTTTGGTTGAGTGGCAATGTGAACGTGAGAGCAAGTGCCACAGTTTGAAACTTCTTTTGCTTCAGATACTAATTAAAAAGTGCAAGTCTAGCTATCTTGAAAGCAAAGTACCCTATAGTTGAAAAAGCAGGCACTATGAAGAACTCTAGGCTCTATTCCATGAGAAAATCCAACCCATCTTTTTGCGTCAAAATCTGGTCAACAGTGACTGCAATTCCATCATACATTGTAGCAACAACCTTATTCATGGCCTCTCCATGAACTTGAGTCATCAATGTAGTCTTCACAACGTCCAAGGGGGTTGTCAGAGATATTGCCCTTACCAATATTCTCTCCCAAATATTGTGGTTATTGGAATTGGGTAGGGTTTGCCTCAGGAATTGGGGATACTAATTTTTTTTTATTGGGGGAGGGGGGCTTTGGAGCTCTTTGGACGTATTAATTACGTACTAATTGATTTAATTAGTTTAAAAAGACTATTAATCAATTTAGTTAATTTAAAAGGGTAATAGGCCTAATTTTCCCTTCACTTAATGAATAACGGGCCATTATTTTTTAAAGAAAAAGGGCCAACTAAAAAAAGGCCCAACTAAAAAAAGAAAAAAAAAAGAGAGAGAATTATCTCAAACCCTTCTTTTCAATATTACATTTCAAAAACAAGGTGATAAAGTT